GGAGCAAGTGGTGAAGCATCCTGAATTAACTGCAGCGTTCAGTCACACATTTCTTCCCATCAGCCCCGACATCAGGCAGAAGATATTTTGTATTAGTGCATTATGACCACTGCATGCACACAACAGGACATAATCATGAATACCGCAGCTTCATTAACAGAAGTTTTTCAAAGGACTGCAATAACACTGGCGCCCTACATTCTAAGTTGTGACGGTGTGAGCCATCACGCACAATACGCACAGACATTTCTCCCCCCTCTGTACAACTCTGGCAGTCAGAAGCCTAATGTGGGTTTACCTTGACATAGCCGGTCTTGCTTTGGGTTTTATTCCGGTGGTGAGCCAAGGTGGCAAATGCCACATCTTTAACCAGCTGCTGGAACTTGTCATTACGGGCTACAAAGTCGGTCTCACAGTTAACCTGCATGAAAACAGACGCAACACATTTTGCTGAATGCCACGTCCAACAAACAGGTAAAATGTTCAACGCCAGCGATCGGGCGGGTGATTTCCCCCTTCATCACTGGCCTTACCTCAACCATAACTGCAGCCGTGTCTTGTATAAACAGGCCAACCAGCCCCTCTTTGGCTTTGCGACCCTCCAGCTTGCTCGCTCTGCTCCAGCCCTCCTTCTGGGCCTCCGCGTGCAGCCAGGTCTCTGCCTGGAGGATCGAAATGTCAACACGGCCAGTCGCTTCACTAGTCACCTTATGGATGTAATGTTTTAATGGTGTGGAGGGGAGGGGGGGGTTGTTACCTGTGTTATGTCGTTATCAAACCTCTCCAGGGCTTTCTTGCAGTTGATGAAAGTGTAGCCGGTGGTTTTCCGCAGTTTCATCAGGAGGGCTTTCTCTGCTGCCAGGAGCTGACAACCAGTGTGCAAGGACTGCACGTGCTGGCAAACACTGACCTGAGGACAGAAGGAAGAAGGTGTAACACTCAGTATCCAGGACATCTTCACAATGACCGCGAGGCAGGTCCACTCTGTTCTCGGGGAGACAGTCGCTGTTCAACTTTGTAACAACAAATGCCCTTTTACGTCCAATATTCTGCAGAGATATCGAGCCGCATGACGCCTAAACCTAAAGCCACGAGTTTAATTAGTAAGGAGGTTAATCACGGAGTGTGCCATTAACAGAAAGTAAGAAAGCTAACCGACACGACAGCTCGAGCTGCAGGTAAAGTAGTAAAAGCATGGACGAGAATAAAAGGTCAACGTGCTCACCTTTGCAAAGTCTCTCGTCATTGCTCTGAATAAAAACGTTAACGACATCTTTAAACTCCGCTGAAGACAGCTGACTTTACGTTATAGAAGCTCTCAGAATGTCATTGAAATGCACGCTGCCTACGGAAGCCGCGGAGGGACAAAATGAGCCCCGGCGGAGTCGCGTCTTGCCGCGTGGCGCCCTCTGCTGTTTGGGAGACGCCTGCAATTGTTTTTAGCGATTCCGCAATGTGGATTATTCTCAGTGGTGTAATGTAACTAGTCAGGCTACATTTTGATCAAATGTTCTTTCACAATTCAATTTTGAGGCGCTATATTTCCATTTAAGGGTATTTTATATTCAATTTCTTCCTGTTTTTCTCTGTAGAATTATGGTTATTGTTGGGTTCTTAACTTCTGATCAAGGGTTACCTTCGGCCGTTCTGAGACAAGAAGTCATAAAAAGTCAACTGGCTCGAGCAATACAGTTACATAGTAAAATAGTATGAATAGTATAATATTATTTCGCGAAATAGAGTCCAGTCTCATATGACCATCACATTTCATCACATTTGAACCATTTTGGACAGTTCTATATGGTCCAAAATCGGACAAGGGCTGTCGTACATCCTTTGTTCATCCACTACCTACGGGAGAAAAAACTCCCAAAAAACCCTCTTTGGGGAGAAAATTGTGAGAAATCCATTAGGTGGCAATTAGCATCCGTCCCCTGGTCTTAATGTTACATTGTGGCAGGATGTTAATGTGTGCAGTAGTTATATGACTTAAATTACTATTAATTGTGTTTGATTCATCTTGCAATTATTTGATTTAACACGCTAATGTAATAACTAATATCTAATAACACACAAACTACAAAACACTAAACATTACTACATGTATTATGCTTTCTACTGCTAGGTGTGCTCTCAAACCCACCACCTACTTCTCGCGTCCCACCGACCTCACCTCTTTCGCCCTCACTTCCCTCTTTCACCGCCCTCTCTCCTAACCAAATTCTTACCCTAGTAACCTCTGCCCGTCCGACCACCTGCCCTCTTGACCCCATTCCATCACATCTTCTACAATCTATCGCACCTGACCTTCTTCCGTTCCTTACCTTTCTCATCAACAACGCTCTGTCATCTGGCTGTTTTCCCAATTCTCTGAAGGAGGCAAGAGTCAACCCTCTCCTGAAGAAACCCACCCTCAACCCTTCTGAAGAAAACAACTACAGACCGGTCTCTCTTCTTCCCTTCTTGTCCAAAACCCTTGAACGTGCTATCTTTAATCAACTCTCCTCTTATCTCCACTGTAACAACCTCCTTGACCCCCACCAGTCAGGTTTCAAGGCAGGCCACTCTACAGAGACTGCTCTCCTTGCTGTCTCTGAGCAACTCCACACTGCTAGAGCCGCCTCTCTCTCCTCTGTCCTCATCCTTCTGGACCTCTCTGCTGCATTTGACACGGTCAACCACCAGATCCTTATTTCCTCCCTTCAGGAACTTGGTGTCACAGGCTCTGCTCTCTCCCTTCTCTCGTCCTACCTCGATGGCCGCACCTACCGGGTAACCTGGCGAGGATCTGTGTCGGAACCTTGTCCTCTTACTACTGGAGTTCCTCAGGGTTCCGTGCTGGGTCCCCTCCTGTTTTCGCTTTACACAAACTCTCTTGGCGCTGTCATTCGCTCGCATGGCTTCTCTTACCACAGCTATGCCGATGACACCCAACTAATTCTCTCCTTCCCTCACTCGGACACCCAGGTGGCGGCTCGGATCTCTGCCTGTCTAACTGACATCTCTCAGTGGATGTCCGCCCACCATCTGAAAATCAACCCCGACAAGACTGAACTACTTCTCTTTCCCGGAAAAGACTCGCTTACCCAGGACCTGACAGTCAACTTTGGAAACTCTGTGCTAACGCCCACTTCGACTGCTAAGAACCTCGGCGTCACACTCGACAACCAACTCTCCCTGACTCCCAACATCACTGCGACAACGCGATCCTGTAGATACACGCTCTACAACATCAGGAGAATACGTCCCCTTCTCACTCAGAAGGCAGCGCAGGTACTGATTCAGGCTCTTGTCATCTCCCGCCTGGACTACTGCAACTCCCTCCTGGCAGGTCTCCCTGCCACCGCCATTCGACCTCTGCAGCTCATTCAGAATGCAGCAGCTCGACTGGTCTTCAACCTTCCGAAATTCTCCCACACTACTCCACTCCTCCGCTCTCTTCACTGGCTACCGGTGGCCGCCCGCATCCAGTTCAAAACACTGGTGCTCACGTACCATGCTGTGAATGGATCGGGTCCAGCTTACATCCAGGACATGGTCAAACCCTACATCCCTACCCGCACTCTCCGCTCTGCATCTGCAAAACTACTCGTCCCTCCCCCACTGAGAGCAAAACACTCGACTAGGTCTCGACTCTTCGCTGTCCTTGCGCCGAAATGGTGGAACGAGCTCTCTGAAGACATCAGGACCGCAGAGAGCCTTCACATCTTCCGCCGCAAACTAAAGACACACCTCTTCAGACTCTACCTCGACTAAAGACTAACAAATTGTAGCACTTAAACTGTACTTGTGACGTCACTCATCTATAGCAAATTGTAAATTCGCTTATTTGAGGAAATTGCACTTTCTTGTTTCTTGTTCTCCTGAGTTTGTACCCTATGGTTGAATGCACTTATTGTACGTCGCTTTGGATAAAAGCGTCAGCTAAATGACATGTAATGTAATAAAAAATGTAATGTGCTCTACTGATTAAATCACTAACATTATAAAACAAATTAAATTATTTTTTGTGGAGATACTGCAGCGTTGTAGCAAATGGAGATCCTATTAAACAAATATAGACTTCTACTTGCCTTTCCAACACAACAAACTGGCACATGAGGCTTATCTGAGTTTATTTTAGTCAGATCAGGCTTTTACTCTCAGTCAGCTGCAACATTTGTGTGTTTGTCCTCACTACTTACCTACCCACCGAATGGGATGTAAAAACAAATAATATATTGTTAGGTGATTTAATATTGTTTCTTTGCCAGCACTTTAATTCCTCGGGATAGCTTCAATTTAATGTATATTACATTATGCATGAACTTAAGAGCCCAGCATTGAAGTGAGTGAGCTAATCGGAAAATGGCAGAAATCCTGTGAAATATAACATCTGGTCAGTCTGGTTGGAGAAATAAAAAAAATAAGATACTCATGCGCAAACTTATTTCTTTCATATACATTTAATTTAGTATTGGACAACATGGCTTTAAAATGCATTCGGTAAAAATGAATGTAACAGTTTCAATGTAACTGTAATTATAATTTAAAAAACTGTTTCAAATCTAAGACAACTTTCATTATCTCATCTCACATAAAACCTTGACATGTTGATACATTTAAGTGCCGCTCCTGAGCAAAGCAGATGTGTAGTTTCACAGAGATGAGATACAGCAGACAAAACAGTTACCTACAAATGCTCACAAATGTAAGAATTAATAAATACATATGCATTTTAAGATGGTCTGTATTGCATCATATTAATCACTACTCCCTTACAAATTACGATTACGATACAATTATGAACAATAGCTAAAAAAATTAAAAACAAAATAAAAAATAAAAAATGACAAAACCCTTTTTCTACTAGACTAATTAATGGTGAAAAGATTGACTTCCCCTCTGGGCTGGTTGGGTGTGTGTGTGTGTGTGTGTGTGTGTGTGTGTGTGTCGCGTTTGAATTGGTCACGTGAAACCGGCTATAAAAGGAGGACCAGGGCCACGGTCAGTTTGCTTTGTTTTCAGATTGCAGCTGAGATGAAGATCATTGCAATCCTGGCACTTTGGGTGACCCTATCCCATCAGGGCTACGGCAGTAAGACATCTTTTTCTGCTCCATTAACACCATAAACTATTATTACAGGTTTATGTATGACCATGCAATACAGTTTCATGTAGGACTGTTATTAAGAAACCAATGTGTTGATTCTCAGACACTCTGGACTCATGTCAGGGTCGCTGTGGTTATGGAACAGACAACGGTGCTTCTTGTCAGTGTAACTCGTCCTGTGAGCGCTTCAGAGATTGTTGTTCTGACTACACTGAAAAATGCAAAGGTGACACGGCTTATTTTGTAACTAATCCATGACACATTGCACACTTTGAACCGTTTCACAAGTCTGTTTCTTTACCTTCTAGCTGGAGCCACGTCTTGTAAAGGCAGATGCGGTGAAAAATACAACAATCAGAACAAGTGCCACTGCAATTCGCAGTGTGCCGAGCACAAGAACTGCTGCAGTGACCATGCAACCCTCTGTGACAGTAAGAACAACCACGTACTGCCTATCGCTGTTCCTGTCCCACGACATATCACACCTGATTTCTTGCTGTTTGTTTTTCCTGAGTAGCTCCTCCACTTACGACACATGGTCCCATTCCCAGGGGGAGGGGGGGGGGGGGGGGGGGGGGGCCCAATCCTACTGCACTGAAGATCAGTTTCACCAAAAATATATTTACTCTCTAAACATTTCACAAAAGTTCATATTAGTAACTGATTCAGAGTCAAAGAGGACAAATGATTTTGTAAAGAGCTACAAGTGAGAAAAAAGTACAAAAACTAAAAGAACCTTTATTTCTCTATTAGTCATCTTAGGAACCCTCATATTTCTCTTTTGACCCTGTGGTTGGGTCTGGCCCCATTGGTGATTTTACATTACATTTTGGGTGAATTTTGTTGACAATCATTTTTTGTGAAGAGTTTTAAATCCAAAACTTTTTTTCATAGTAGTAAAAAATGTCTTCTGAACACCTCCTTCAGTTTTTGATCAGCAGGTGTCGCTGGTGTGCTATAAATCACATTGAAAGAAAACAAAGGCTTCAATTGGCTGTTTCAACGTAACCTGCGCACTTCTTCTTTAATAATAATACCAAGTGAATCTGCTATCTTGTCACATTTTTATGCTCGTGGACACACACTCCATCGTACATCCCGTGTTTAACGCACAATCTTCTACAAAATAACTTGTACCTATAGAATCAACATAAGTATAGTATTATTCTCTGAGTTGTACATTTTTCCACTAAGGGACTAATAATGTATTATGTTGCAGAGTAGAAGTAAAGTAGAATAGAGGTTAAAAACTGCTTAAAAAACTTAAAAAGCTACAGAAATGTATAAATCACTCTTCCAGGTTAACACACGAACATGATGCATGTCGTCCCCTCTCTCTCCCACCTTCCAGTCTGTGTCCTGCCTCCTTTATCTGATCAAAAACACAACAACAACAACACCAAACATTCAAAAGTCATTATCTGTTTGTGTTTGACGTTGCAGGTGCAAGTGGAGGAAGTGTGATCGCTGATGCTGAGATCAAGTCTCTCTCTGAAGCCCTTTATGCTCTGGATTCCAACAAGGCCTCAGCCTCAGACTTGATCCTTGACCCTCAGGCTCTGGTGCCCAACTCGCAGACGAGCGCCAAAGACGATCTGTCCCCTAAACCGTGCGAAGACGATCTTATTAGCACGGTATGCTCTTCTTCTTGTTCATGATGTACAGTATTTACACGCTTTTTTGTATCTTTGTGCTTCCAGCTTGTTCCGATACCTGAATGAGGAAAAGCTGTTCTCCAGACCCACCTTCTCCGCTCTCCTTTCTGTGCTGGACAACTACGACAGGATGACAGGACAGACGGAGGACTTCAGTGCCCAGCAGCTGGCCGAGCAAGAAACCTTCGTCAAGGAGACCATGTCCAACACTGAGCTGGGCAGAGAGCTGTTTGCTTTCCTCTACACCAAGGGTGAGTAGGTCCACACGCACAAGTCCAGACGATGGACGCTGTCCAATCATGACAACTCCAGGGACGTGAAGAGGAGTCTTCTACAGAGATTGCAATAAATCAGGCCTGCCGACGGCATGCTGGACCGGAGAGCTCTGAAGATCTCCCTCTCCTGCTCACAGAGTGCTTGTTTAAGGTCTAAAATGTTGATGCGTCTTGTGTTCAGATTCCACGCATAGTTCCCTTGGATCCCCAGCAGTCCAGTGTGAAGTAGATCAAACAAACAGGTTTCCTATGCAAAGGACATAACCACATGAATGCAAACTGATTGCTTGTTGGATGTCGTTTTGTATTTTAAGGAGTCTATGCTTCAGAGGAAGAGTTCATTCAGGACTTGAAGATGATGTGGTTTGGTCTATACTCCCGCAGCAGCAACAAGATGGACTCCAGCGGCTTTGAACACATCTTTGCAGGTGGGGACGGAGCAGAGTTCTTCTAAACACTATAGATGTCTTTTGCAATTTTTCCAGGGGGGATTATTAAATTCCTTCTTTCATAGGAGAGGTCAAAGGAGGAAAGATTTCCGGTTTCCACAACTGGATCCGGTTTTATCTTCTCGAGAAAAACGGAAAGCTGAACTACTACAGCCACAGCTTCAATGGCCCCGTAAGCATCACAGTGTAGATGTCAAAATGTTGATTTAAACTGTGAGGTAAGCGCCACGCCCTTCGCGTTCCTCCTTTCTAAGAGACAAAACAGAACTAATTATTTTTGGTAACAAGGATGAACGATTGCAAATCAGCAGTTTCAGTTACTTAAAAAAGGTGTAACTATGGATTCGTGACTCAACTTCAACAGCCATATCAAGACAGTTACAAAATCAGCCTACTACCTAAAGAATATATATATTAGAGGACTTATGTCTCAACCAGATTTGGACAAACTTTCAGTAGACTCTGTAACGGTGTGTTTACGTGTCTGTGTAAAAAGTCAATCATAAAGCTACAGCTGATCCAGAACGCTGCAGCTCGAGGCCTCACGAGAACCCGGAGAGTGGATCACATACCCGTTCTCAGGTCTTTACACTGGCTTCCTGTCAGACAAAGAATTAACTTCAAAATCCTGATCTTGGTTTATAAAGCACTGAACGCTTTACATTTCTGATCCCTGAGAACAAAACATGTTGAAGCAGCGTTCAGTTTTTCTGCTCCACATGCAAACAAAGTCCCAGAAAGCTGCAGGAAATGTTCTTAACTGTTTTGAAATTTTACGTCAAGCACTTTGAAATGCCTAGTTGTTGAAATGCGCCATACAAATAAAATTGCTTTGCCTTGTTTTTCTTTATTTCACCTGCTCTCAGTGGACTTCCTACCCTGATGTGTTGGGGATGCAGTTCATGTGGGAGGGTTACTATAAGCAAGTCGGCTCTGCAGTCATTGGCTGCAGCCCTGAATTTGACTTTGCCTTATACAGCCTTTGCTACATCACTCGCCCTGGAAAACAGTGAGTGAGCCGATATGTACTGTGATGTTTTCCAGCATTTGATTTCTCGATTCACATGTTTTCTTGTCGATCCAGGTGTCGTCTGAGCCTGGCAGGGAAGGAGCTCATTATCCAAACTTACACTTGGGATAATTCCTCCTACGGCAATGGAAAGAAGTTCATCGGTTCTGCTTTTCCTGCATCCCCCTAGCAACTGAAGCTGACGTGTAATAAAACATAAGCAACTCACAGAGGAGTCTTTGTCTCATTAAAATCTTGATACTTTAAATGAGTGACATCCCCAAAAGATGCCTTTTTCTCAGTGAGAGGTATATTCTTAAATGTAATCAAACTATTGTGTTAAAAATATGTGGTGACAACTGTAGAGTAATTGTTTTCTGAAAATGTTTCTATAAAGCAGAAATTAAATGGAAAACTACATGTATACTATATGTACAACTGCATCGTGCTGCGTTTCAAAAGGAGCTCAGCTCACTCCGACACACGCACATCCACTCGCAAAAAGCACAGCAGTGCACCAGACAGTCGATTAATCTGCGGTGTAACCTCTCGTGAACAGTCTTACAGACCAAGAGAATGTGGCGTTCTCCCAGGGGCGCCATCGAACTGTGCCTAATGGGGCAAAAAATTGGGCGTTTACACACCCTGCGCTAGCACAATACTGACACCAACCCTTCAGTGGTGAGAGCATGTGTGCATCTGACACAATTGTTTATTGTCTTATACAACAGCTAAACAAAACAAAATGCAGTCTTTAGCAGTATGAACTATAGAAACAAAAAGGCATTAACCGATCCTGTTCTGCTTGACCTGCTTCAAACAGTAGCCACCAGCTAAAACTGTTCTTATCAGCTGTCCATAAAGCTGTGTGTAACTCCCCAGTGCGGGTTAAGTGTGTGTGTCTGTGTGTGTGTGTGTGTGTGTGTGTGTGTGTGTGTGTGTGTGTGTGTCCCTCCAGCTGGGATGGGGGTTGATTTTACTCTTTCACTCATCTAGGGTGACTAACAGGATAAATTCTGGTCTGCCGACAGAACAGGAGGACACACTTGCAGCCCTGTTTGAAGAAAGTATTACACAAGATGGATCTGCCACTGATCCCATTGTTCATCAGTCTGTGTGCGTTCATGCAGAACAAGAGCACAAGACCAGTCAGTTTGCAGGAAAAATGTGGCCTTCAGCGATTTATCTGATTTGGGCCTCACGCGTAGTCAAAGTGTTGCAGCAACAATAAAGTTAGCCCAGTGAAGAATTTCTCTCACTATTTTGTCAGCGTGTATTACATTTACCAAGCTGTTGACTCTGGAAATTAGATGAGAAAATCTTCTCTCTTTTCATTCTGCATTCTTTTTAAAGCCACGGCGGAATCAGATTAAACCACACTGGGGCAAATAAAAGAAAAAACGAGATTCAATTGTTTCTTTTGTCACTCAACACACAACTTCATAATCGAATTATGGCCGGCCACCCGCCAGCATGTCCTCGCATCTCCCCCCGAATGGGCTTCTCCTGGCACATCTCGTGAGCCACCTGACTTTTGTTTTGTAATTTTATTATCCCGCTCTCCCTTTAGCGTGTTGTGGCTAATGGCTGCGCGGGCCAGCCCAGCTGCACATGCAGAAACAAAGCTGCTTATGGGGCCAGACAATGGACCCGCGGAAAAGGGACGCCTGAAGGCGGTCAGCCAATGAGCACGCACAACAGGGGGCCAACTGAGGGTTTAGGGAAGGGTTAAGGGGGTTTAGGGGTTCAGACAGAGGGGGGTGGGGGGGGGTCTAGTTTACCCAGTAGTGGGGTCCATCAATGACATGGTTAGTAGGAGGACGCATGGTCAACATCACCCCTGTCTCCCCAGGGTCGGTGCTAGGCTGGAGGGAGGTTCGGGTTTTGGCTTATATGCTGGCCATTTCTAAAGTTGATGGGGGACCATGAAATGCAGAGCAACGTTCATTCTCTAGAGTGTTTTGTGTGCTTTACAAACAATTTGATGACCATATTATCAGAGAGATAAAATCTTGAACCACGGAACTCACCTCGTTGAACTATTACCAGAAAATATTTTTAAGGCTGCCAATATTGCAGGAGGAAGCAAATCATTTTGATTACTTTGTTAAAGAATCCACACCCTTAACATGAACTACACAAACACACACTGACATACACTCACTCCTCGTACTGTGCCGTTGGCGTCTCTCAGAGGACTTCCAGTATGACAGATGGACGAAGCCCGCTTTCCCCCACTGTGACAAACAGATACCCTGGGGATTCATGGGAAGGTCATGTTTGTGTGTGTACTGGAGTGAAGTTTTATTCGTCCTTCACATTCGGATTATAATAAACTCAACTCCCACTTTACTTACATACCTCGTTGAGGTGAGGCAGTGTCCTCTGAGCAATGCGAACATGCCGAGGTGAGCCGAGCAGCCAGTGGAGGATGGACGAGCATCTGAGCCACAGACTGTTATGAGACTCGTGTGAGTGAAGGCCATCTGCAGCAGAGCTTCATGGTGTCAGGTCGGCACTGAGGGACCGGGGGACGTCATGGCACACATACAGTATTCAACTTGAGCACCACTTGTGGAAGATGAAGACGGGGTGGTGGAGAAACCGGAGAACTGAAAAGAAAAATGGTCAAAGTGCATTGGCAGGTTTTTTTTATTATGGCAGATGTTGTATTTAGCGAGTTGGGGCACCACTCATACCCCTAAAAGCAAACACATCTCAATTTGTTTTAGTATCACAGCGATACGAGCCTCAGCTATCATATTCCCCTGCTAGTCCCACTCCTGGGATGCCAGAGGCCCAGCGCTGCTATTCCCCTTTCAGGCTGCAGGTGTGGAATGGGAAAGGCAGAGACCCACGGGGAGGAGCAGTGGGAAAGGTGGTCGGCCATGAACTGAATGAGAAGCACAAATTATCGGACTCCCTGTTCCCCGGTCAGCAATGTTGATGCTCAACAAGATATTCGGTTGTTGCCCATCGTCTGTATCACAAAACTACAACCTAAATTAAGTTTATCATTTTTGAAAAACGTAATGGATAATAGTTCAATTGTCCACAGGCCTCACATATACTTGATGTGGGAGTGTGAGTGAGGAATTTGTTTGGATGTGTTTTAGTGTAAAATGTCTTCAACAAGTTCAAGTTAGATTTGACGCTCAAATGATCTGATAAGCCTTTAAATCCTTTGTCTAATAAACTGCTTTTGATAACTTTGCTGTTATAAGGATTAAGCTATTAGCCTGTTGAGAACTACTAGTGCAACGTAACCAGGTACTTTTACCCAAGTAAACTTCAAAAAGGGGCAACTTCTCAATTTTCACGCATTCACGCAGTCCCGGAAAAAGACTGCCAGTTCTACATGTTATTTTTGATACATCTATATTTTACACTAGATTTGGCAGTTGTAGTTACAAAAAAATGACAATATTCTAGATAGTATTTTGACTGAAGATGATTCTTCTCTGTCATTACCATGTGTGCCTTGTTAGTTATTTTGTATATTTAGATTTAAAAAGACCGATATATTTTAAATGATGTGCAACAATATCTATATCATACTAACAGTATTACAGTGGAAATTAGCACATACATCACTTTAATTTGTATATATTTTGCTAATGTAAGGCAAGTTTTGATGGCGTAACCTCAAAGCTACTTGTAGTGATGTTTATTTCACAACACTTGAGGCTTGTCAATGCTAGAAGTCCTGTTACAACATTCAATATCGTAGTGATGGGCACGGGCCTACATTTTGTAGAGAGAAAAAGCTATAATAACTTCCAGAGACACTACTGATCCTGAAACTGCACACCTCACGTGACCCACCTTACCCCGTGTGGTGAAAGCTTCCTCCTGGGTGAGAGGAACTTGTTCCGTCTGCGCAGTGCAGAGGGAAGGACGGAAGAGGCGATGCAGCAAACACCTGCTCACGCAACTTCAAGCTGTCACACACAGTTAAGCTCAGCCGACTGAGCGCGTCGCTCCTCCGTTCAATGCGATCTCGCCGCTCATTTGGCGGCCGCCCTCGCAAAGCAACAATGGCCCCGGCCTCCCCTGCTTGTCTGGAGAGCTTCAGAGAGCTTATACGCACATCTCCCCGACCATCCACACACACACACACACACACACACACACACGCACGCACGCACGCTTGAGAGGCATGAGCCACGGGCCGGCCACGCGCGAGCGCCACAGACATTGGATGGGGAGTGGGGGAGGGGAGGAGCTTCGGCGTGGAGGTTAAAAGGCGGAGCCCCCGAAGAGTGTCCCACACTGAGACTCCGTGGGACAGCTCTGCACCGGGAGACACACCCAAGATAGACTTCACCGCAGTTTGACACTAGTTAGAATATATCATCTGCCGATTTCCTGAAGAGGTCCCGGGACACGCCGACACGGGTAAGTTTCTACAAGAGATTTTTGAAATGTAAAGTTTTTCGAGCCCAGTAGAGTTTACAGTCTTGTTTTGTGTGTGTTTTGGGTCGCACACCATGTACCTTTCAGACAACGTGTCACGGGATCTTCAACTCAAAGCCCACAAGTTAACACGCAGTGGATGAATCCAAAGAACACGCTGGGGTTAAATTCGTATTCGTGCTTCATTTCACATTTAGAAAATAGCACTTCGAATACGCAGTCTTGAGTCGAGGCATTAACATTTGTGAGTTTGTAAAGGTCTGATTTGCATTCAATCTGAGTCGTCTGTCACTGATCTGGGGACGCCGATGGTTCATTTAATCCCATGGTCGTCGCTTCATCCAGGGAGAAAATCCTGCGATGCCCCAGATTGAAGTCCTGTAAGTGACTTTATCTCGCTGGGGGCATTATCAGTTCAGAAGTTGACAGGGATTACCAAGCAAGAGGGGGGAGAAACTGAAGACAAACACATAATGTGTTTATGAACATGCCACGAGGCATCACTCAAAGCTACAGTAATTGAAACTGTTGTGCCGGTGGAGGGCACAGGGGGGAACTGTCCGGTGCTGAAAAAGTTTAAGGGCAGCTGAGAATCGCAGTTTACAAAATACTTATTATTATAACTGCTAGAATTATCATTGGGGGATGGAATGTTGTACTCGCTGGCTCCAGGTTAAATCCTTTACGGGGTCGTATAGGAATTCAGAAATACTAAAGTCCTCCGATGCTGATGAATATAAATGTGGTCATCACAAAAAAGACATCCTATCATCTTGATTTTGTCAACATTTTTATTTGTTAATCTATAATTA